CCGAGGAGCTGTTGCGACTGTCGCTGCCGATAGCGTGGCCTCCGTCTAATATCGCTTCTTCGGAAAATTCATAAGTATCATGCATTCAAAGGGCTGTTAGGACTGTCGCTGCCAATAGCGTGGCCCCCGTCTGATATCGGCCATCCTCAAAGAATAGCGTGGCCCCCGTCTTACGATACTCCTTCGTAGCATTTATTCTTTTGCATTACCTACATGCCTACGAAAGGCGGACGTAGACAACAGGAAAAGAGATTGAGGTTTCAAATCAAATCAGCTCTTAATTCAAACCAAGATCCTTTCCCCCATTTCCAAAAACTAGCGCAACTTCTAAATCGAAACGCACCGGTAGATTCGTCTCGCGGAAACGTATATTCACTCCAACTTTTGGAGATCGATTTTTCGTTTCCTGACTATAAAGATATCCAAAAAGGCGATCCACGCAGACTCGCCTATAAGCTGCGAAATCTTCTGGGTACCAGATTCAAGATTTCCCTTCCAAATCATTATCCGACCCTTCCTACCGAACATCCCTGACCACACGGCTTGATCTCCGATCCCCGGGTAAATTGCTTTAATGCATTGACTTTAAAAACGGAGAAAATCTCAATTGTGACGTAACAACGGAATTCGGTAAAATAATCGAATCGAATCAGTGGCGCGTTCAGACGATACGATTTTTCTACCGATTCGATTTTTCTGCCGTAGAGCGCAGCACTCGAGTCAGCTGTTTGACACAGTGCTCTCAGCTAGTCGTGCTTGTACATACGTATTTCTTTACACCATGGAAGAAATAAATACGGAACTTTTGATAAGTTTAATAGAAGAAAGGCCCGCTATATGGGATAAAACGTTGAACATTTATAAAGATAAAAATATAAAAGAATCTGCATGGAGGGAGATATGTGTAATATTAAAGGAAGGTTTCGAGGAAAAAGAACAAAAAGAAAGACAAGAATTCGGTAAGTTTTTACTTATTTACTTAATTTCAAAATAATTGTAACAATTGCAACTGTGTCCTATTGTCCTATAGCTTCATCTTGCCAAGGAACTGACCCAACTTCTGACACGAAATAATTAACAAATATTGTAGTTGAATTAGCAGATAAACTTCCACGCGTCATTTGTGCATTTGATATATTATCAAAATCGATTACTTCTGGACGAATATTTTCAAGATTGAAACCATCTTTTTTCTGATTATGTAATACTGTACACGCTTCTACTATCCAAATAGCTGTTTCCTCATTTACATCCAAAGGTCTGTGAAAAATTTTCCATTTGTTAGCAAATATACCGAAAACACACTCGACGTATCTTCTAGCTCTGGTTAAGCGATAATTGAATATTCGTTTTTTCTTATCTAAATGTGTCCCTCCAAAAGGTCTCAATAAATTTTTATGTAAGGTAAAACCTTCGTCTCCGACAAGCACGAAAGGAACATTTGTTTCCAATTGTTCATTTAAAGGTTTAGGTTTAGATATTTTCAAAGTGCCTTCCGTTAATTTTTTCCAAAATGTTATTGTTTTAAAAATTGAAGAATCACAATCTTTTCCATAAGATCCAATACTTATATATCTAAATTGATAATCCGAATTAACAACTGCTAATAATATAATTGAGAAATAATCTTTATAATTAAAATACATTGAGCCGCTGCCGGATGGTTTTTTTATTCTTATGTGCTTGCTGTCAGCAGCGCCAATGCAGTGAGGAAAATTGGCTCTTGTCTGAAACATCCGATATTTGTTCCCATTCATTAGGTGTATTTGGTAACTGCATAAATTCGTTGTACAAGTTATTCCATATACTTTGTGTTACTTCTACAATAATATTACTAATTGTTGAGACATCCACTCGGTAGCAGTAATGAAGTTCTTTAAATGAACATCCAGACGCCAAATATCTGAAACAAAGATGTAAACGTACATTTTTTAAATTCCAGGTAAACTTGTTTTAAAAAAATGGACACATATCAGAGACTCTTGGTCAAAATCTATTAAAAGATACAAAGAGCAAAAACAATCTGGTTCTTCTACCAAGTCTTCAAAACTTTATGTGTTTCATGAACAAATGTCGTTTTTGAACAAAATTATAGACACAACTGTTGCTCATGAAAGCACTGATAATAATAAAAACGAAGAAAATAAATCAGACGATGCTAATGATGAGGCAAAGAATCAAGATGAAATTGTTGAAGATGCAAAAAGGCCTAGAAGTATTCCAGAATCTGTGAGCAAAAAGAGTATTGCTACTACACAAAGAAAAAGGAAGTGCGAAATAAATAATGAATTAGATGCGAAAATGATAAAATTTATTGATCATCAAATAATGTCGAAGAATGAAAACCATAACGAGAACCGTCATCTATCATTTTTTAAAAGCCTTTTACCTTCCTTGTCATTATTTTATGATGATGAAACTTTAGAATTTCAATCCGGTATTTTAAATTTATTACAAAATCTTAAAAGAAAGAAACAAACGATATTTAACAATCCGCCACACTATTCTAAACAAATAGATCATTACGAAAATCCTGCTTATTACAATCAACCGCAAATAAATACAGTGCCATTACCAATGATGAATCCAAGGGTTGAACCTGTAAAATCGCCTGCAGCACTATCCACAATATCTACTACAAGCCAAGCATCTGATTGTTCTCTTATAGACCTGGATCTACAAAATTTCTAATTTTCTGTTTTTATGTTAATAATTATAACTAATAACAATAAGTATGATAGTAATTTTTTTATGATAAGTAAAATTCCATCTTATTGTGTTGTATTTTATGATAAGTATTTTTCTATTCCTAAAAAATCCTGTTCTAAAAAAGGCATATATGTAAGAGATTTAATTGTTGCCACTTTTCCGCGATGTCGATTGGTTCTCTCACAGCGCTTCTCTTGTACATCGTGGCAATGCATGTCTATGATATATATTTAGTATATTTAGTACAAAATTCAATTAAAAAACTTACCTTAGACACACATATCGCTAATTTTTCTTCAGGACTAATGCTTCTTCTCATAGTTGTATTTTGTCTTACCAAAGAACTTTCCACTCTTCTTAACAGGTAATCAAAAGTAGACATAGACATCCGAAAATAATTGAAAAATTTTATCTCATCTCTCCTCAATTGACACATAAGTATCCGATACAATCCCAAACGAGATCTCTCACTTACAATGGGATGTATCGAATATTTTTTTTCTATTAATTTTTTTATAACGACGGCGATAGTGCCAATAAGTTATAATAAATGTATTCATATCCATCTCGGGAGAGAGCTGATGGCGAAGATGGGCATATGGGAGAATGGATGTACGGCGAAATTACCGTATCGTCTGAACACGACATCCGATTCGATTCGATTTACACCGATTCGGTGAAATTACCGAAACGGTCAAAAAACCGTACCGTGTGAACGGGCTGTAACCCTTTCCATATCTGACATACCCGTGCCTTTGGCATTCATTATTAACAATACATCCTTCAGAAGACCTTCATCCATATTAAATTTCGCTATCCATTTTCGTAGCGTAGAAATATTATAACTGGTAAAGGGAATCGTTTTGTTTTCCTTAAATACCGAAGGCCTTAGGACTAACGCTCTTTAAGGAAATCGCAGATGCGATATCTTCAGAAGACCATTGGGTTTTGCTCCGTGTTGGATGTAAAATCAATTGTATTTGCCCGGGTGTGAAGAATGGAGTTAACATTTCTTGAAATTTCTGTTCCAATTCTTATGTTGGTTACTCTGTAGTATTAGCCGTTGTTTAAATTCTTTTTCGTGGCGTTCATCTCTTAAAGCTAATTGACGTTCCAGGGATTGCACTTCCTTCAGCAATTCTGCAATTTTTTTCTTCATTGTCTGAATTTCCTTGTCACGGTCTTGATTGGTTGGCATCTTTTTACAAGTGTCCTCTTCTTATACATGAAACCACGAAATACACATATATAAATAATGTCAAACGAGCCATGAAAATAACTGCATCATGCATTAAAGTTACAAGGAAATTACACGGAAAAATATAATAATTTTTTGCAAACAAAATAATCCATATTTTTTAATTTTAATTAAGTGAAATTGTGCGTTCAAATTTATGCTATACTAATAATATTTTATTTCAATTTTCGTAAAAATTGGAGAAATGACTTTTTTTGTGAAGTATGGCAGATCTGGTAATAGGCAGAATGGTAATAGGTACCAGAGTTTGTAGCTGTGGCAGAGTTTGATACACCACTCGCAATACTCGATAGATTTTCTTGCAAGCAGCTTAACGGGGCGATTGTATCACTGTGTGTAGTAGAACTGCACTGCGCAGCAACAGGCATAAGATGAGTTTCTATTTCTGAAATTCCATTCAAGATGAGTTTCTATTTCTGAAATTCCATTTATTGCAAAGGCAGATAAATGGTCGATCAACACAAATAAAAGCTTTCATTATTTATTGTGCTTGGATGTAATTTCAAAAATTATGGCTTGTCATACAAACAATAAAAAGCAATATCCAATAAAGATTTCAATGGAATTTTTTTTATAGATATTGAAGCCCAAAATAAACAAGCCCTATATTGAAAATATTCCAAACTCAATCTGTGAAACTGATAAAAGCTTTTACACTTAAACAATAAATAATATTATTCCAGAAACTACCACATGTTAGTTTTATTTTTTTTTTTAATTTTTACAATCAACATCTCATGTATCTGTATTATCGTTGGTAATTTCCATCGGAACTGCATCCGATTTCAGTCTGATTCGGACATTTCCGTTTATTCCGACGAGATCTTTTAGCCAAGTGCGATTTTCGTATTGGGAAGAATGAAAATGATTCGAACATACACGACCTGAAAGACGACTTTTAGTCAAATCCTATAAAGACATCTTTTTTAAGATGTCTTTTGGACACATCTGTTTAAGACATTTTTCAGAACAAAAATAAGACAATGTTTTATAACAATTCGTAAATCAACATATGTACTACCGATGTATCTCGAAACTTTGTTAATATAAGTACCTAATTTAATCTATAACAATAATGTTCAAAATTAGTTTAAAAAATGTCTGAACAATGACAATAGGATGTCTCAAAGGCATCTTATTGTTCACCGGGATCCGTTAGAAATTTAAAATATACTACATAAAATGAAAATAGGGAAGTACACACACCATTTTTCGGGTCCACATTTTCTTTGCATACGGTTTTCCATTTTTCAATTATTTCCGGAGTTTTCGGAAAAGAAAAGAAACTTATTTTTCGCTTCTTCGTATTACTTAACGTATTTTTGCAATTCTTTATTGCACACGATGGCATCTTTAAATCGCCTCTGCGAATCGCAGTCTCGTAATTTGAGAAAATACACAACACACGCATACACGCACACACTCATGCGTCATCGTTGTGTGATGCAAAATGGCGGAATTCAGTCCTACGCAGAACTGGACGAAAATTGGTCGTGGAAACGAACAGACCTTGTTACTTGGGCCATAGGATTACATCTAACGTTTTGTTGGTTTTATGGTCTAAGATTAGGAAGAGAAAAAAAAATTTTGTTAACACACTCTGTTCTTAAATCTATTGCAATTGCTTAGTTTAATGTAATTATTTAACTTATCATGGCAATTATAATTAGTTTGTTTAGAGTTAATTGTTCACTTAGTCATGATCGCTCACTCGTTCTCTTTATTATTCTACATCGCGCGGAGTTCCTTGTAACATATGGGTTTCTCGCTCGCACTCTCGGTAAGCACTGGGGCTGTGAGAGTAGGTGGGCGATCTTCTGGCGTAGAATGGGTTTTGGAGAGAGGTCTTGCGGTAAGTACGAGAGCTTCTTCATCCTGTTGTCTCATGGTATCCCTTTTCCTAGGTTCTGTCAGGTATAGCAACAAATGTGCGACGGAGCTCCAGATGGTCCCGAGTAGGTGCAAACTCCACCCATACACTGAGTGTAGGGCGTAACCGTGGATTATTGTGTCCACGATTAATTTTATCAAGTTGATGATGAGGAAAATTGCCATGACTCCTGCACTCGCTGAACCGAACGTGATGAATCCTTTGCAGAGGCGCGCTCCTACACTTTCTGCAATCTTTTCCAGAGATTTTTCGTCGAAAAGATTTGTCATTGATATACTTCCAGGAGGAATGTTATGACCCATTGCCTCTCGTGCTAGGGTATTCAGCATCCGAGGTTTTTCTACCGGAAACATTATATGGTTGCGAAGACGACTCAGGTCCTCATCTGAGTAAATTCCACTGGTGGCAAGTTCTGCTGGGCTGATGCACTTCCATGTTGGTCGTGTCAATGGCTGAATTATGGGTGGGGGCAATGATTCCACCGAGCGCGGCATAAATCGAAACCAGGTTCCGTGGATTTTGTACATGGTCGGCAGGAGTTCGCTGCTATCCTTATGTGTTCCCGTTAATGTCAGTATCCTTGAACCGGGTAGAAGGAATGCTGATTTATTCTCATAGGCCACTGGTAGTTCTATGAAACTACCTTCGGTAAATGAACATTCTTCGGTATGACGGATTCTGCACTCCACCGGAACGCACTTGATGAGGTGTAAAGCTTCTCCGGCTATCACAGCCGGGCGTTTTCATGATGTGATGAGCCATTTCGTCCGGTGCAATACTATATAGATAGTGCAAGCGCGTTTAAAAGGATTTGTTTTTCCAGGGCACATTTTTGGTCCATGATATCTCGGTACAGGCGTGTTAATTGTGTCCTGATGTGCTTCTCGACGTATACGAACTTTGAATTGACGTAGGCGAAAATATCCAAGTTATTTACAGAAATTTTTGATCGTACTCTAAAAGCTCGATCCGGTTGCGTCTCTAGGATGAAAAGTTTTGGATGTTCTGTTTGTATTAGTGTGTATCCACATAGGCTGATTTCCATTGTTTGAGTGAGCGCGAAGGTGGTCTCTCTTGTAGTGACTGTGTAGATGGTGGGTGTCGTCTGGTTAAATTTAGGAGTCAGTTTGTTTGCTTGACCTTCGTAGAGGACGTCATAATGGCTGAAGTGGCAGCTATCAGGCGGCACATGTGACCAGAAGGTCTCCTCACCGTCGGTATCTAGACACTCTCCGGCTGCGACCTTGCAATGCAGGCCGGAGGGTAGAATAATTTCATGTGAGCTGCGTCGAATAGAGGATTCGAAGTCCCGCAAGGTTACTCTGACTGTTGCCTGTACAATGACGCTGTCCCACGTTCTATAAGAATCGCTATATTGGGAACCGCTACAGCGGCCATCCACAGAGGCATGTCCGGCGAGTGTAATGCTCCTAGCAGAAGTACTGTTTGGCTTAAGTCCAGTGATATAACCCTCTCTTCCTCCCAGGTTGATGGCTCCGGTCTCATGGATTCGTTTACAGTTGTTGGCTGCCAGTTCATGGAGGTAGATTCTTCTTCCACCGTGGACCACCGATACATGCGAGTGCATTCCGCAGTAGTATATCGTGCGGTCGATTTCCACCTTGCACTGTATCACCCGAGTTCGGTCAAAATCTGAGAGTTGGAATAACTGAACATAAACGTCCCTAGTAACGGGTTCAATGTTCTCTAGGTCACAACTTCCAATGTCGAGGAGAGACAGCGAAGTAATGTTAAGGCCATGATCTCCGCAGTCGTAACCCATCAGGCCACGCGACGACGGTGCGAGGGATAGAAACGCGGCGACGAGAAGGA